TACTCACGTTCTCCCAGTAACTCAGTAAGCAGATATTACTGTCTTTATTTTATTTTTAATTTTACCTACTATTATCATTTTAATTTGCTATAGGGCACATGTTTTAACCAGAGAGGGACAGAGAGAGAAAGAGAAAGTGAGAAAGCAAGCTGCCAGATCTGGGACTCAAACCACGATCAGCCATGTGGGAGTCCAGCACCTTAACAACCATGCCACCTGCTGGCCCCAGTAATTTAAATATTTTAAAAATAATTCTTTAAGAAATGATACCAATTCTCCACAATCTTTTTCAGAAAACAAACAAACAAGAGAAAGGAACACTTTGCATCTTTTTTTCTAGAGAGATTTTTTTTTTTTTTTGGAGAGGTTTTTGCTATATAGGGGCATCTGTGCTCGCCAGAAAGAGACAGAGAGACAGAAAATGAGAAATCACCCCCTAAGGGGATGGCCATGCCGCAGTCCCTTCTCCTCCATTCTCCTCTTGGGATCTTGGGCACACATGCACACGTGCCCGGTGTGAGTTTAAACCACCGGGTCTGGGACTCGAACTGCAGTTGACTACATGGGAGTTCAGCGACGTAACCATTATGCCAACTGCCAGTCCTGAGAGATATTTTTTTAACTTTTTTTTTCCTAAAAATTATTTTATTTGACTTTATTTATTTATTTATTTATTTTAATTTGACCAGAAAGGAACAGAGTGAGAGAAAGAGGGAAAGTAAGAAAGCAAGCTGCCAGGTTCAGGACTCAAACTGCGGTCAGCCATGTGAGAGTCCAGCACCCTTAACCACCACGCCACCTGCTGGCCCCTCTAGAGAGATTTTTGCTACAGGAAACATGTGCTTGCAGGAGAGATAGAAAGGGAGAAATTACCCACCCCCTGGGATTGGCCACACCGCTACACCACCACATCCCTTGTCCTCCAGTCTCTTCTTAGGATTTGGGGCACTCATGCACATGATGTGAATTTTAAACTGCCGGGTACAGGACTTGAACCATGGTTGACTATGTGGGATTCTAGCGATGTAACCATTATGCCATCTGCTGCTCCCTGCAACTCAGTTTTTGAGACCTGCCTTAACTTGATACCAAAAGTTAGCAATGTCTCTGGAAAGCAGGGTTAATTCATTCAGTCATACTACAAAGCTTACTGAGCATCTATGAAGGGTCTTCAAAAGTCCATGGAAAATACATATGAAAAAACTATGCATGGATTTCACAATTTTTTGCACCGAAATTAATTTGTGTTTCAATTCCATTTTCCTTGAACTTTTTGAAGTCCCCTTTTGCTATCCTGGTACTGCACATATGAGCCAAACAGGTCCCTGCCTTCATGAAGCTTATCTTCTTTTTTTTTTAATTTTAAGTTTATGTATGTATTTCCTACGAGAGAGAGAGATGGGTGGGGAGGAGGGGACACCCCTAATGGGGTCCTCATAGCACAACCCACAGTCTCCGTTGGCCCAGATTTCAGACAAACTCATTCTCATTGGCCTCCCATGACCTCACCCTGTCTCCAGTGGATTTGGCATTAGCCTCTCCAGAGCTCACAGGCCACCTTCTCCCTGAAGCCTCCTGGTGAGGGAATTCGTTCCTCCCAATGTACTAGAGGATTCTGCTGGGCCCGCTTGACTCCAGCAGTAGTCTGGGAACGCCTCAGGAGACCTCTTCTTAGCCATGTGACCTTGAGCATGGAACATGCTTTTCAAAAAGTATGTTTTTACTGTAAACTGACGCAGAGACTTCACTAAGACCCCACTGCGCTACTCAGAATCACTAGTGTGAAATGAAAGAGAAATTTTTGGGTCATCAGAAAAGTCATGAGCATTTTTGCATAATAAAACACAGAAAAATACGTTATAACTTTTCCAATGGCCAAATAATTCGCATTGCTAGATGCCAGCAACTATGCAGAGAACTTTTTACAAATGTAAAGTTCATTTCAGCTTTACAAAAGACCCTCGAGTTTTATACAATCCCCATTTTACAGATGCGAAGCCAAGACTCAGAAAATTTAACTAGAAGTTTGATTGGGTGTATTCTTAGGTATTAAGATGAATAAAATTGATTACCCTCTAACTAAATGGATAGAATTAAGAAGAAAGATAGTGGGGCCAGCAGGTGGCATGGTGGTTAAGGTGCTGGACTCCCAAATGGCTGACTACAGTTCAATTCCTGGACCTGGTGGCTTGAAAATTATGCTGGGTACATGTGCACGCATTTCTCAGAATCCCAGAATAGCCGAGAATGGATTGCAGTGTGGCCAGTCCCCTCTAGGGGGCGATTTCTCACTTTCCCTCTGACTGTTTCTCTCTGTCTCTCTGGTGAACACATTCGCCCTATGGCAAAAAAAAAAAAAAAAAGAGAGAGAGAGAGAAAGATAGCACAAATTACTAATACGAGAAATAAAAGAGGGACATCACTACAGACCTCATAGACATTAAAAGTGGCCAGAGAGGGGGCCAGCAGGTGATGTGGTGGTTAAGGTGCTGGACTCCCATATGACTGATCATGATTCGAGTCCTGAACCTGACAGCTTGCATTCTTATGTTCCCTCTCTTTTTCTCTCTCTCTCTTGTGAGTGCATGTGCCCTATAGCAAATTAAAAAATAATACTGATAAATAAAATTAAATAAATAATAACTTTTAAAAAATGACCAGAGGGGACCAGCAGATGGAGTAATGGTTATGTCACTGGACTCCCATATACGTGTCCGTGTTTCAAGTTCCAGGCCTGGCAACTTAAAACTCACGCCGGGCACCTGTGCCCAAAATCCCAAGAAGAGAATGGAGGAGAAGGGGTTGCAGCATGGCCATCCCCCAAGGGGGTAATTTCTCACTTTCTGTCTCTCTGTCTCTCTCTGTCTCTCCAGTGAACACACATGCTTTATAACAAAAATCTCTCAAAAAAAGAAAAGGTGACCAGAGAATACTAGACTAGGTGACCTCTTTTCCTGTTGAATGCTGTAGGGTTTGAGTTCCAGCCCTCTGCTTTCAGGCTGAGGTTATTTCTTGATTTTCTGGCACAGGGACTGGATTTGTCCTCAGCACAGGCCTAAACCACCCAGCCCGAGAAACTGAGGCATGAACTGGGCTGCCAGTTATTTAAGTCAGGAATAACTATCACAGGAAAGGCACATCAAGCCTTGTTGCAGCGGGTGGTCCCAGAGGGCTGACCAGTGGAGACGCTGGGAGTCAGAGTCAGGGAAGGAGGCACCTGAGAGCCTGCAGCAGCCATCTCAGCTGTAGGGAAGGAGCTATTCGGGGCACCATGGCCCACCCCAGTGAGCGCCCGAAGGTGGGGCCGAATCCTACCGAGTACTGGAAACCGATCGCTGCCAGACTCTGGTTCTTTTGCCTGACCCTAAGACCCAGGACCTTTCCTTGTAGCTCGCCTCGCAGAGCACTGTATCTTACTGCTGTGCCACTGTCTGGTCCCCTGCGATATTAATAGTTACCTACCATTCATCGAGCATGTGCTATTCTGCTGTGCTCAGTGATTGTCATGCCTGACTCGGACCCAGGTCAGTGATTGCCAGACTGTTCCTTGGAGCCTCCCTGGGGTCATCACTGCCAACAGGGACATGAGAGGACTGCGCGACGGGGAAAGGGCTGAGGGACGGACTCCAGCCCATCCTCAGTCTCAGCCTAGCTCTTTGTTCTCATGCATGCAGCCTGGTATCTAGAGATGATTCTATTTGTTTTTGTTTTAAGAATTATTTATTTAATTTTATTATTATTATACCTTAACATGCTGTAGGACACATGCACTCACCAGAGAGAGAGAAAGTAAGAAAGCAATCACCAGGTCCAAGACTCGAACCACAGTCAGCCATATGGGAGTCCAAGGCCTTAACCACCACACCACGTGCTGGCCTGGAGGACTCTGTTTGAACAGAGGGCTCCCAGGCTAATCAAAAAAACCAGCATTCTAGATATAACAACCTCATCTCCAGTCTTCACCCAGGGGGCACCATGCCTTAAATCACAACCACATTCCGACCCTGCCTCCCTGTGAGGATGGTTTTGTCTGTTCTCATGGGCGCACAGTTGCACGTCACCCATCACCGATGTCTCTTACCCCCACGGGGCTGGGGGGAGTGCCAGCTTAATGCTCCAAAGACTCCCTCCTCTCAATTCCAAGTTCTTGGGGAAGGAGGCCCCATTTGTCTTCTCTGGCGGTCCCTCGCCCCCTGCTTAACTCTGTACTGCTGCAGCCCAAGGCCCCTGCGGGCCCAGAAGAAGCCTGGCTCCCGACTGGGCTCTGTCTGATATCCCTGGCCCCGCCTTATCCCATTTCACTGCAGGTTGCTCCATCGCTAGCCCCAGAAATAAGTTCTCTGTCACTCCCCTGGGGGAGAGCTAACTGGCCACGTGGAAATCTGGCACTGGTCACAGACACTGGAGAGCAGAGACTCGCCCGTCCTCAGGGTATCAGCCTCTGAGTATTAATGGAAATTAGAGGAACCTTTGCTCCAGGAAGACCTAGTTACAGGAGTCCTGTGGCAAATCCAGGGAGTGTGCAGACAGAACAATGTTTTGTTTTCATTTGCTATGAAGTGTGTGCACTCACTGAAGAGAGACAGAGGGGAAGTGAGAAAGTGCCCCCAGGACAGGTGGCCACACTCCTCCATTCTCCTCTTGGGATTTTGGGCATGCACGCACACGTGTCTGGTGTGCTTTTCAAGCTGCCAGATTCTGAACTCAAACCATGCAGTAGGCCATCGAGGGGCCAGCTGCCCTAACTACCACACCACTTGCTGACTCCCCTCCAACAATATATTTTTTAAATAATTATTTTACTTAGCTTTATTTATCTATCTACGTATTTATTGACCAGAGAGGGACAGAATGAGAGAGGGGAGAAAGTGAGAAAGCAAGTCACCAGGTCTAGGACTCGAACTGTGTTTGGCCATGTGGGAGTCTAGCATCCTTAACCACCATACCACCTACTGGTCCCTCCAACAATATATTTTTAAAATTTATTTATTTCTTTCTTGAAATGAGTGAGAGAGAGACAGACAGATACAGCATCCCAACAGGGTCCTCTTTGTGCCACGATCCACCCCCAGCCTCAGCCAGCTACAGATCGCCAACTCAGGAAGGTCTCTAGCTGCAAACCCAGGACCTTGCCTCACAGAGCACTGTGTCTTACATGCTGGGCATGCTTACACATGTGCCTGATAATGATTTTCAAGCCTCCAGGTCCGGGACTTGAACTGTGCAGTTGGCCCTGTGAGATCCACCCACCTTAACCACCATGCCACTGGCTGGCCCTGAAGGTGTCCTATGTTGATGTGGCTCCATTCACTCGTGTGTTCGCTTAGCATTTATTGAGCACTGATTACATGCCAGGCCCAGTGCGAGGAGTCACTGATGCAAACACAGCCATGGACCTGGCTCCCAAGGAACTGAGTTTCGTGTGTTCGCTTAGCATTTATTGAGCACTGATTACATGCCAGGCCCAGTGCGAGGAGTCACTGATGCAGACACAGCCAACTGAGTTTGAGGTGATGGTGTGAGAAAAGCTGTCGTCGGTGTATTTTCAAAGGCCTACAGAACACAGAGAAGGCGTTTCCCAGTTCAGACAGAAGGAGGGTGGGAGGCTGCTGTACAGAGGAGGTCATGCTTGAGCTGGGCAAGTAGGAATTCTTTCAGCAAATAGGTCGGGGTGGGGGTGGTATTTGGGCTGCACAGAAACAGGAAAGTGCAAGAGGCCTTGAAGGAAGGGTCAGCAGGGCGGTATCTCCAGAGCCAAGGCTGTGTTGGGGCTGGGGCCCGGGCAGGGCACTGGGCTGAGACAGATGGGGCCAGGATGTGAAGGGCCCTCTGTGCCTGCTGGTTCAGAGGGGAGCAGATTCCCGCTTTGGAACTGATCACCCTGGAGGAGGAGGAACTGGGCGGAGGAGCAAGCCTGGAAGCAGCAGCGCTCTTGGGAGGGGCTGAAGGCCAGAAGCACAGCGAGGCCTGCAGAGGATGCAGACCAGCTGGCTTTGGGAGCCATTTCAGAGGAATCAAGAAGACTTAACTGTGGGTGGAGGGGAGAGGGAGAAGTCACAGGGTCACTTTAAGGCCGGGAAAAGGCATGGAGGCAGTTTGGGGCAGGGTAGGTGGGTTCCTGTGGTTCCAGATAGCGGAGCATTGCGTGCCTGCACTTACCCAGCTAGAGGTGGACATGCAGTGGGAGAGCAGCTCTCCAGCTCACTGCTGCACAGCAGGGCCTGGGGCGGTGCTGCTTGGGAGCAGTGTTTCCCAGAGACAGAACAGAGAAAATGGGGCAAGAACAGAGTCCTGGGAACACTGATTCTTTTTTTTTTTTTTTTTTTGGAGAGGTTTTTGCTATAGGGCACGTGCGCTCGCCAGACAGACAGAGACATAGAGATGGAAAGCGAGAAATCACCCCCCTGGGGGGATGGTCACGCCGCAATCCCTTCTCCTCCATTCTCCTCTCGGGATCTTGGGCATGCACGCACATGGGCCCATCGTGAGTTTTAAGCCACCGGATCCGGGATATGAACCATGGTCGACTATGTGGGAGTCCAGAGACATAGCCATTATGCTAACTGCTGGTCCCAGGAACACTGATTCTTAAAGGATAAGGTGTGCGGTGAGGAGGGCACGTAGCATAGTGGTTAAGGTGCTGGAATTCAACATGGTCAACTGTGGTTCAAGTCCCGGACCCAGCAGCTTGACTCACACCAGGTGTGTGTGCATGGATGCCCAAAAATCACAAGAGGAGAATGGAGGTGAAGGGATTGTGACGTGGCCATCCCCTCTCAAAGGGGAGGTGGTTTCTCACTCTCTGTCTCTCCAATGACACACATGCCTATACCAAAAATCTCTCTCCCCCAAAAATAAAAGAGGGGGAAGAAGGGCCCCCTAAGAGGCAGAGGAGAGATCAGTTGAAAAAGAGGTTGCAGGAGGTGGTGACGGGCAGTGTAGGTTCTGCTGAGAGATGGTGGAAGGCCAATACTGCACCCCCGTGGGGTTTAGCAGTGAGAGCTGATTCAGGTGAGAACAGCCCCAGAAATGGGTTAGTTTGGGCTGGAAGTCACAACTCTGGGAGTGACGCCAGTGCAGACCATCAGGATGCACAGAATTCTTCAAGCAGTTCTGGTGGCATGCTTACTCCATTGATCTTGGGTGCGATGCTGGCGGGGTTCGCGGGAGTGCACGCAAGTGGTTGCCCTGGAGAGGCCTGTGCAGGCTGAGTAGGTGGGAAGGCAGGTGTCCCAGGTGGAAGTGCAGAGGGAGAAGGGTAGGAGCTGTGTCCTAGAAAGGCCCAGGCCCAGGCCCAGCTTTGGGATTCTGTGCAGGAAGCTCAGGATTACAACTTGTGTCTTAAAGTGAACTGGGTTCGAACCATCACCATTCATTGTTGAGAGGCTGTTGTTACCAGAGCTAGGTCTAAAGGGTTGGTTTGGAGTTGGATTTGGAAAAGAGACGGGCAGGGAGGGAGGTGGGGGCAGACCAGCCCCAGCTCCCAGGGAGGAGCCCAGATCCTAGACTAGGATAGTCTCTAGGTGGAGGGTGGCACTCCATCTGCACTGGGGCAGAGGAGCGTTCTGTGAAGCCAGCGGGGGTGCTGGGCCTGGTTCGGCGGCCGGTCCCGGTCGGGACCTAGCGCTATGAATGTGTGTGTCAAGGGGCTGGGGAGGGCGGGCGTTGAGGCCTTCAGGCCCAGGGCTGGGAGAGAGGGCGGCGCTAGCGCCTACCTCGGCGCCTCCTGCATCCCGACCTGTCTTCCCGCACAGGGCTCGTGGGCCCTCAAGAAGGAGCCGTACACCAGGGAGATGCTGGCGATCTCCTTCATCTCGGCGGTCAACCGCAAGCGGAAGAAGCGGCGGGAGGCACGGGGACTGGGCAGCAGCACCGACGACGACTCGGAGCAGGAGGCGCAC